ATGCAAAATAAAGATAAAAGGTTATTAAATGCTAATTTTAACATATATAAGAGCTCAAGTAATAATCTAAAATGATACCAAAAAATACGATGCTAGACGTGAAACTTTTTATTTTCTCTCTTCTGAATTTTTTTTATAAAATTAGGTTTAGCGATGCATAACCCCTGTCCTGCATGGTGACTGCCTTTGATTCCCTTCTGTCCCACACGAGCGTCTTAAACAAAGGTGTGCCATCGCGAAAGGGTTAATGCATCATGAATTTGCGTATTTATGTACTGCACCCAGAATGTTTAGCAAGTGATTGCTTAATAACAATGATTACTTGTCTTTTTCACTCTTCATCGCATCGTTTTGGGATTTTTCAGGAGACATTGACAGGGCTTAGGGCTTAAATTCTAAAATGGAGTCCTCTTGTGTGGTCTGGTGGTGGGGGAGAGGCATGGGAGACCCTCAGGGTGGAAGTAGAAGTCCAACCTTCTTGAAGCTCAGGCATTCATTTTTTCCATGAAATACATGGACAAGACAACAACACCTTCATATCTACATATTTTTTATCTCTTTTACATACCCTTTCAAGGAGAAAAAGGCAAAGCGACAAAGATGTCTTTTTAAGGAAAGAGCATTAAAGAAGTAGCAACTAAACAGAAATGTAAATCATAAAATTTTGACCAATATAATTAAATAATTGTAAAATATAATTTTTTAATATAAGATTCTTTAAGAATAAATGTAATTTTTAGAATCCTATTAAATATTTCAGCATTTCAATCCAAATGCCTTTCTGTTTTAGAGCCCACATAATCGCAATTCTTCAAGGAAGGTTTTTATTCTAACAGAATATAACAAATACACACTTTTACATAACAATTATTTATTCTAATTAACTGAAACACAGATAAAAATTTATGACACTAATTTTCATTTTGTAGATTATATTTTAACATCATAAATACAGTAAGAGTAATATTGCAGAAATTATTGTTTTACTGTTATTATCTTTCATTTGGAATTCCTTAGTTTACCAAACTGGAAGGCCCTACATCAGGCATCATTCTAAATAAGCATTTCTATTGGTAAGGCATATCCACTTGAGCTAATTGGTGTGTTTGTTCTGCACCAATGGCCAAGGGATGCTATGTCAATTACTTCAAGAGGCCTCTGTTTCCTGTATAAGGTAACTGGCCTTTGTGAACTGCACTAATACATTTCATAAAAAAATTATAAAACAATAATATGATATATAAAAACTAATCAGAATCATGGAATGAGATAGCTAAATCTAATTTTATTTAAGCTCACCCTTTTCAATAAATATAATTCAACTGTTGCATAATATGATTGTTCAAAATATGTACTTATTTAATGTATTATTCATAAATTATTTTTGAATTCTGAATAAACGCTTCATTTTTTACTTCCTTGTACGAAGTAAAAAGGAAGTATTGTAATCTCGAAAAGTTTCAGGCAGCATATTTCAACGAAAATATCCATTTTGACCCCTATCGAATGCAATTTAACGATGTTTTTGCATGATATCTGTATTTAAGGACAGAATAAAATACTCTTTTCCTTCAAAAAAATTATAAAACTGCTTTAAAATTAATTCTGAAGAGAATTTTTCATGGTGTCTGTACGAGCCTATGTATGTACGTACGTATCTCGCATAACTCAAAAACGAGTAGCCTCAGAACGTTGAAATTTTGTATATAGGACTGCTATAACATGTAGATGTGCACCTCGTATTTTGGTTGCAATCGGCCGCACCAAACGTATATAAATATATTTATATATATATCCACTCTGTTACCCGGCTCAGTGATCTCAGTTTCTTTACTCTTATATGTTTGTAAATTGTACATTTTTTGCTTTAAAAATGATTGTATTATGTTGTTTTTATCTTCTGGTTAAGGTTTTTATGCCTTTAGTAAATCTGTATGCAATATTTTTAGAATTATCAACAATTTTAAAGTTGTCTAAGTGCCGCTAAGCCTTTTTTTAATGGCGGCCATTGATGTTTACATTTGAAACAGGAGACTAGTGGATTTGTTGCCAATCTAGAGAAACTTAGCTTCGCAACAACAAAGATAACGCATTCATTTATTATTGCCAATTAAATCATGCTTAATTCTTTCTGGAATTTTTTTGAGGAAATAAGTGTTTAAGATTTACTTCGTAATTTTTAATATAGATATTTTGAGTTTTTGTGTATTTTTGCCTTCTTGTGAAGTGAGAACTGAATTAATTCAATGAGAAATACTCAATTGTCTGTGAAAAACTGTTTCTTTTTTGTTTTGTTTTGCTTAATTTCTTTTATACATCATTCTAGCTTTATTATAGTATTTGAATAGAACATGTGGCAACGATTAGATAATTCTATTCTTTAAATGATATAAATTTTGTGCATTATGAGTTATAATAGGAACGAAATATATAAGTTAACTGTTATTGGATTATATAACAATTAACTTAGTTTCCGTTATATAATTATTATATAAGTTAACTGTTATATAATTATTAATACTGTTAAGTGAATCTAGCGCCAGAGTGTCGCTATGGTAAACAAATAATAGAGTGAATTTTAAAGAATGCATTTATTCTATTGTGGTTTACGCACTGTCGGCGAAGTAAATTTAATTCAATCCAATAAGTTTAAATGAAATGCAAGAAAAAATGCATATAATTTAATCTTCCAATTTAATATTCCAATACAAGGAAGTCATGTGGTGTACACATCAGATTTGTTTTAATTTAAAACAACCTAACTGCATTTGCAATTAAAATTAACTCTTAAGTGGACCTGTAACCTGACATTGGATGCTGTAGAAAAATTCTGATACATTCAATGTAACATGAACAAAAATGCTTAGAAACCATTGTTCTACTCCACTATCTCAATTATGAGTTAGAATATATATATATATATATATATATTTTCTGTTAGTTAAAAAGCATACTTAGTACTTTTCTAAGCAGAATGTAAATATAGAACTTTACATATATTTAGATTTTTTATTTTTATTTATTTATTTTATTATATTTTTTAATTTTTATTTATTATTTTTTTTTTTTTAAGAAACATCCTTATAAGGCAGTGTGACTGTTTTTGAAAATTCTGCGTATTATTTTATGAAATTTAAAGAACCAAAGTATACAGTAGCCTTTCCTGCCATACTGCATGTTCCATTCAATTAAAGTTATATAAAAAATTAAACGTCATTTGTATATAAATTTGTTAAAAAAAATTATACTGAAAGTGATATATATTTATTTACTAATTATTTTATTAATCAAAAATTATAGCTATACGATGTCTGTCTAAAAGGTATCCGGTCTTAAATTTTCCTATGCATAGTAGTGATACTAGGCTAGTGGCACTGTGCACAGTGGAAGGGGTTATCTTAATGTACATGCTTGAACTTTTCTCAATGTTTCAGTGAGTCAGTCATTGCCTACTGGCCGTCAAGTGAATTATTCTTATACGCTTTAGATGGATTTTGATTTCTCTTAAAATGACTGAACAAGTTGTATATCAAATTTTGTCAAAATTTTGTAATTCTCAAAGCAAAACAATTCGTAAGATTCAGCAGGTGTTTGGAGATGCTACTAAACGAGTAACACAAATTAAGAAATGGTTCAACCAATTCAAAAATGGCCTGGCATCGGTAGAGGATCAGTGTTTCAATTTTGAAAAGCAACTGCAATACTAGATGATTTAGATATGAAAGGCAACTTGACTTTGGTGGTTTATACACAAATTTATCTTGTTTTGGAGTGACTACATTGTCTTTTTATATATTTTAATGAAAAACATCAACAATTGAATATTCTCTTTTGGACCAATAGTGCCCTCATATAATGAAAGTTACAGTAACCAGCAATTCACGAAGGCCACAAGCTGCTCGGAATGCAGCTGTTGTTGAGAGGGCAGAAAATCTAATAATAGGAGATCATCATTTGACCATACAAGAGATAGCCAAAGAAGCTGAGATCAGTAAAGATGCTGCACTTGCAATTTTGCATACTGATTTGAACAGAGTGGCTGCAAAATTTGTGCCCAAGTATACAGTAGCCTTTCCTGCCATACTGCATGTTCCATTCAATTAAAGTTATATAAAAAATTAAACGTCATTTGTATATAAATTTGTTAAAAAAAAAATCTGTCAATGGAACAGAAAGAATTCTGTCTGGAGATTGCACAAGAACTGCTGGACACTAGCAACACTGAACCTGAGCTTCTGAATACCATGTTAACTGAAGATGAGTCATAGCTGTATGGGTACAAACTGGAAGCTAAAGTCAGTCGTCACAATGAAAGCATCTCAGGTCCCCAAGGCCAAAAAAAGATGAGAGGTGAAAAGCAAAATCAAGGTGATGCTTGTTGATGTGTTCTCTGATATCTGAGGAATTCTGCATCATGAATACACATCAGATGGGCAAAGAGTGACAAAAGAGTACTATGAAAACGTACTCCACTGACTCCATGATGATGTTCAGTGCAAAAGACCAGACCTATGGATGGTGATAAATTGGCAGTTGATCATATTGCCAGTTTGTATCGGGAGTGATGATCTCATTCATCACACTTGATACAGACTTTCTTGGAAAAACATGGAATTCCAGTCATTGACCAACCTCTTTGCTCTCCAAACATGGCTCTTGCAACTTCTTGTTCTTTCCAAAATTGAAGATGATATTGTAAGGATCCCATATTCAGAGTAATGAAGATAAAATGCACAATGTGACAGCAGAGTTGAAAAACATTCCAAAAGAAGCCTTCCACAAAACTGTTTTCGGCAGTGGAAAGAATAGTGAGCTAATTGTATGGAGGTGTAAGGGGCCTACTTTGAAGAGGGTTTAAGTCCCAATCCCATCATGTAAGTAATATATTTTTTCCAGCCAAAGGTCGAATCCTTTTTAGATAGGCCCCGTACATTTGTTGAGACTCTGATCATATATTAGGCATTAAAAAAAAGAGAGAGAGAGAAATGCTACATTTATACCTAAATGAGATTTTAAATCTTCCTTAGAGCTTTCCTTATTGTCAGCAGATGATTCTTCTGTATGTACTGTTGTACTGTCAGTATTATGTGTTTGTGAATACCATCCAGCCCAAGAAGGAAACATCCACTGAAGGAATCCTTTTCCTTTTGACTGTTCAGCAACAGCCTATTTCAGGAGAAAAAAAGAATAACATGAAATAAAATTATAATTAGAGCACAAAAGAATAAGCATAAGAGAATGTGTAGTTCTTTTTTCTAAAATACATTTAGGTAATTACCATTTTGAATAAATATAAGCCTCGACATATACTATTTGATAAGTTTTTCCATGACTAAATTCCGTTAAACATAATAAAAAAATATCCAATATTATACAGAATATATATATTTTTTTTTTATTCACAAATTCTGCTATTTAGTATTTCAACAAAATTTCAGTCACTGAATTCTTAGTACTTTTTCATTTAGTTCATTAAAAACAAATAGTTCAATATCACAGTGTGCAGATATGCGAATAAATACTATGAAGATATTAGTAATTGAATTAATAAAAATTTACTAATCAGAATGAACTTACTTACTGAATTATTGCTTAGTTGTTATTTCAAGTCTATCATCCAGGCCTTTAAAAACTAATTTTGGAAGAAGTTACAAACTGAAAGCAGTTCATTCTGATAAATGATAGTTTTGTTTGAGGTAAAACATCATTCATTATTAAACTTCCTGCTCAATTCTTGGTTTAAGTGAAAAATTTTATTACATATTTGGATATGAATTTCCATCGATTTACAAAAACTTTGCATGCAGAAACATGTGTCTATGACAGGAATCAGCAACTTTGTAACTGTGGTGAGGCAAACCAATCTACAAATATGATTAAGGTGCCACACAGTAGGAGATATTTGAAACAATTCGATTCCCGCACCACTGCATGCAGAGTTATGGCATAGAGATTAAGAATACAGGTTTAGAGTTTTATTATATATTAATTATGCATCATTTAAAGGTATTTATTAATATAAAATAAATAAAATATAACTATTCTAGCAATACAAATAAAAAATTTTAATTATACATATATTATGTAGCTTTTAAACATACTTCTAAAAATAAGCAACATAAAATTAAACATGATAATAAAACAAGACTCGCAATATCATTCATTCACTTCAGTATTTTCATCAAAAGCAATGCTAAATGCAACAGTTTTCCGTAATCCAGAATTCTGTTTCTTGTTTCATTTCCTGCTATTTCAGTTATTCGACTTTCAATAGTTTGCACAGAAGCCAATATTTCTGGAATTTGGGGTATTATTGTTTGTAGATTCGGTAAATCCATCAACAATATTTCAACACTTCTTTAAAATGTGTCCTTTAATATATTTCCTACCTTGTGAAAATGTTGCCTTTGGCAGCTGCACAATGAGCAATTACGAAACTACATTCATCGCTTTAGGTTTGATTCCAATTGTTTGACAAAAAAATGTAACTTGTTTCTTACATCCAGAAACAGCTGTTTTTATAACATCAAATTTCTCACCAGAATTCTGAAATATGGACTGATGTTTAGTTTGAAAATGTCTTTGTATACTTCATGTGCGACAAACGACACCTTGCGACATAACACACATATAGCGCGATTCTTTTTATGTATATTCATTCATCAAAGACTCATGAAAACTGGGAGCATCAGGCTTTCTTTTTTATTGGACATTTAATTCAATATGTACGTATGAATTGACACAATAATTAAACAAACAAAAGTTTTCATGATAAAACTAAGAATGTGTCATAAATTTAAAAGTAATCTATAAGCACATGACATGCATCAATTAAAATGATGCTCGATACTCATGCATTGGTGCGACGAACTGAACAAAAGACGAGAAAATAAGTGAAGTGGGCTAGTAAAGGGAGGAGAGACAAGGCGATATATCTTTATGTGATAACTCTGTAGAGCCGTGTAGAGTGCCACTGAGAATTATCAGCGCGCCAAATCTGGCGCGTGTGCCATAGGTTGCCGACGCCTGGTCTATGAAAATATTTAAGAAAATGAAACCTGCATAATACATATTAATTAATTTAACAAATACTGATAATTCTTTTACATGATACAAATTAATTTAATAAACATGAATAAATTGTCAAAATGTAACCGTGTGACTTTGAACTTTGAACTTGTCCAAATGTAACGAAAGAACTATAAATAACCCTTAAAAGGTAAATAGCACTATATTCTATGAAAACCAAAGAAAAGTAACTACACTTCATATATTTAATTTCTAATTATGCTTCTCACTCAATCAGTTGCTATTCACTAAATTAAGCTGGTTTTTTGCCCTATAATTTTTTTTTTTTTACTAAAATATTTTAAACTCTTTATTTAGAAAAAATATAGTTTTACAGTTATTTTATCTTAAATATTTGAATTCTTTCTCTTGTGATTCTCCAGATAGTTTTATTTCATATATAGCTAATGTTATTTTTTAAGTTTCATAGATTAACACAAAATAATACCTAAATGAATTATTGCAATCTTATGAATCAGTTACTATAGTTTAGCTCACTCAAGAGATAAATAAAGTAGATTTATTTCATAAATGATGATATAATATCATTATGAGATAATATATAATATTGATACAACACGCTTTATTTTTAAAAATTTTGAAAATCCTAATCATCTTTCCCCCAATACTTCAAAGCTATGAGTTTTCTGAATAATAAACACTTTAACAGAGTAAAATACAACTAAAGGAAGAAGAAATATAAGCTGCAAACAACTGTTTTTCCTTAATTAAATACAAAATATGTAAAAAGAGAATGGAAAGAGGCAAACTGAAAAACAAATAACAGGTATTTGTTGGTTATATGACATTTGACAATAAATTGCCAAAATTAACACTGATGACTCCATTTCTTGCAAGTGTCTGGCAACTCCAAAAGCTGCTTTGCATTCTTTGACAAAGATAAGATTTTTATTTGTTGTTCCTTTTTTCGCTAATGTTCTCTCTTTGGGGGAAGGTTAATGATGAATGCTTCTTCATTTTTATTTTAACATCAACTTCAATCCTAAGATAATCAATGGAGTTTTACACAATGGAACATATGTGGAGATCAGCAAAATGGTACAATTCATCATCAATTGCCTTCTTATTTATTAGAGTTCATATGACCCAACCACAGGTTGTAGAAAATAACAAACTACTTAATGCCATTTTGAATGCAATAGCAAAAAAATACCCACTAAAAATCGAGAAACCAGACTTTATTGGCAAAATGCAATAACAGATTGTTCACAGTGTATTGACAATGTATTTGATGAATACTGGTTAACCAACAAATACTAAATAAAGTTAATACAATAATAACTTACATAACTACAACTACAATAATAACTTGCATAATTCAATTAAAAGATACATAATTGATAAAAACAAACCTGAGCATTATTCTCTCTTTGAACTTTTTTTATTATTAGTTCTCTCAAAACACAAAGTAACTCCAAGTTTAATTTTTTTTCCAATTCATCTTTCACAATCTACAGTAGGAGAGGAAAATAAAGAGCAATTATATACACTAAAATATATATGTATTACCATTATAATTTAAAAAAATGGTATAAAATTACTTTAGCATCAGGAGATAGAAAATCGCCTTTGCTTAAATATTCTTCATAGGCTTTAGTATATTTAACTATGTCTTGAGCTCTTTCAAGTGCAAATGACCACGTGCATGCTTTATTTTGTTCTTGAATAGGATCTAAATGAACTGTTATTGCATACTCCCACCACTTCTTAGCACTAAAACAATATTAATGAGATAGTTTTTAATTTATTAAAATTAATTTATAGGTACAGCATTGAAGAGGTTAATTTTTCCTGTATATTTTAACAAAAAGAAATTCTACAAATACTTTGCAGTGTGACAATTTGAAAATAAGACTGATTATTTCAAATAAAAGATGCTGCTGTCATCTATCAGCTACTTCATTGAAATTTTCATAACCATCGTTCTGAACAGCTATTTTTTAAAAATGACGTGAATTAAATTGGGATACACGTCATGTCACCTTATTAAATGGCCCAGTTGCTGTTGTTGAAAGAATTCTAAATTTTGTTAAAAGCATAATTACAGGCCATAGGGCACGGGTATCCAGGTGGATGGCATGAGTATTCATGTGCAGCAGTCCTGAATGAAAATGATAAAGTGATGAAGTTAAACCAAAAGAAAAAAAAAAAAAAAAATCTCCTAAAACAAATTTATAAAAATGAAGTAAAACCATAACACTGTTTATTGTCTTGTAAAAAAGCAAAAAAAAAAAGTACATATGAAATTTTCCTGTCTTGTGCAGAAACTGTTAATGCTGCAATTATTTGGATGCTCTAAAATTTTTGCATCAGAGAATAGCATGTGAAGCAAAAAATATTAAGAAAGCTATGGGTGCTTTTTCCTCCACATTACTTATCACAAAACAAGGCAAAGCATGTGTTAAGTGATATCAGAATTTTAATTAGCAGCAAATGGTAATTTTTCAACAAAAATATACTTCTCTGCAGCAAATAATCCTTATTATGTTCTTGCATATACATATGTTTTGTTCTCTTAGCTCTGACATATTAAACATTTATTAGTTTCTTCGTGAACCTTTGAGTTTGCCAAATAATAAAATAGAAGTCGCTAGAGTTCAGTTTTCAGAGATTACAGATTATTTAGACAACTTATGTGCACAAACAAGATTTTAAAGGAATTCAGACTGTAAAAATCTATATTGGTATTTTATAATAGAAATTCTTTGTTTTCATCTGACTTGTTTTCAAATTGTTACACTGTGTACATAAAGACATATACAATTTACAGCAAAAGCTATTTCAATGAAATTAAAATTTTGTTTTCCAGCACATAATTAAAAAATAATAATAAAGAATACTTACTTGTTCTTAACTGGCACTTTTGGTCTCCACTTACGATATTTCCAATGAATATCTAGCACTTCAAATTCTTTTATGCATTCAACCATCTGCCGATATTGCATCTGCTCAAGCATTTAAAAAAGAGAGAGATTAAACAATAAAATCTTTTGACATAAAATTTTCTTTAATATAGAGTTACTAAAATATAATAATGTAACACTACTCTGTCATAATAAAGGTCAACTTTTTTGACAAGTTACTTTTCCAATGAATTATTTTTACAAAGTACAGTTGTAGAGTCATTAGGTTTTCAATGACCAGTAACTTGAAAATTCAAATTGAAAAGATGATAGTCACACAAATCAAGATAGTGATCAATTATCATCCACTAAACCATAGTTTATATGTTAAGTATCCCAGTAGTCATTAATTTGGAAGAATCTTAAAAAATCAGCAATATCTTTGTTGAGAATTGAATCCAAGACCTTTCAATCACTAGCTTTACATGCTAACCACTTCACTAAAAGCATGAATAAAGAATACCATAATTTCAGAAGAAAACACGAATGTCTTATTCCATAAATGTTTTTACATTTCTAGAAATAAAATAAACTTTCTGCAATGAATAATAGCAGTTTTCTGTAATACATAATAGTACACAATAAAACAAGAGCAAATTAAGGACATTACAAGTTATAAAAAATTGAATTTTAACAATGAAATCATTCACTGAGAAAAGTTAGATTCTAATTAATAAAAATGCTGCTTAGCAGTAATTCTTAACACACATTCTGATGTGAAAATACACTTCAAGAAAAAGCTAATATATGTCAAATAATAACTTAATTAATAGAAGAAGGAATTCAGAAAACATTAGTAGTTTAATTACAATAATAAATGAATCAAAGATACAGAACCTATAAAATTACTATATTTTAATATTTTTAAAACAGAATCTCTGTTTTAGGAAATTTTACAAGCTTTTCTCTCTTACAAATATGAAAACAGAAGACAATTACATTTATCTTAGGTATCACAAATAAACAGCAGTACTTTATATACATATATTCATTCTACTACAAAAGAAAGCCATTTTTTTATGTTAAAAAAGATTATACAGTCAAAAGTCGTTAATTCGGACACCCATAATCCAGACCTCAAAGCTACAAACTTTCTGCGCATGCATCGTGTTGATGCATGCGCTTAGGCGTTTATGCACGCGCGCAAGACCTTTACGGCTGCGCATATGCGTGTGCGTTTACGCATGCACGTTGAATGTATAATGGACGGTACAAGCTAAAATTATGTAGTTATCTATTTCAGTTAATGTTGCAGATTCCGTTGTTACTTAATCTTCGAATTGGATCCGGCTTATTATTTTTTGCAGACTGTTAGAGCAATTTTATAAAAGTAAGCTTGAACTTTCGATTATGTCAAATAGAATTTCCGATGCTGGAGCACCCAAAGGATCTACAAAGCGAAAGTATATTTCGATGTCTATCAAACAAAAACGAGAATTGCTGAAAAAAATGGATAAAGGCATATCCTTTGTTTCTCTAACGATTCCAAAATCTGTTTATCAATTTCACGCTGCTCTGCAGGGGGGAGACGTTGCGGCACGCAATTAATTGGAAGTTGATCTGTCAGCACTATCCTTATCTTCAAGACAGATGTTTTTATTTTATTCGGCTTATAATTCCTTACTAAATGTAGTATTTCATCTCGATGTACTCCGTCTTTGATATGATTTAAATCAAATTCCTCATCATTATAATTCGCTTCCGATAGTGAAGAAAGTGACACAGAGGTTAAACGAAAAAATTTCGATTGACAAATTAGTCGGTATTCTCAACACAGCAATTATAGGACTTGAACAGCGGAACTTTGTAACTGAACAAGAAATTATGTCTGTTTATAGAATTAAAGAGAAAGTATTATCACATAAAACGAAGCAAACTTAAACAACTTACATTGAAAGAAATGTTTAATAAAGTAAACAAATAAATATTAAGCTTTTTTTTTTTTTTTTTTTTTTTTTTTTTTTGTAAATTTTGATACCCTTCAGATCATAATTGTTCTTTATTTCATAAATTACGGTTTCATATTTTTAATTTTATAATTTCTGCATGCCATCTTACTAGATTTAAACTGATGATCTATAATCCGGAAAAATCGATAATCCGGAATCGCTATGTCCCGACGAGTCCGGATTAACGCCTTTTGACTGTATAATAAACAGCACAAATATAAACAAGCTAACAATAAAGACTTACAATTTGACAGCTGTATGATTAAAAAAATCATTTTAAAAATAAATGATTTTTTTTTTTTTTTTTTTTTTTTTAAAGATGGCTAAGAACTTTATTTCTTTAAATAATGATCCAAGACCTTATTTTAAAAAAAACTATGAGATGTAAATCAACATATTCATTATAAAACTTTAATCAACTTAACTAGGCACTTTGAAGCTAGAGCTCTACGAAGTAAAAAAAGAACAATATGATAAGAAAATCTTACCTCACTGAGAGAGAGAGGAATTTTTTGCAAATTAATATCACAAACAATTCTGGGCATATATCTTGATCGCAGTGGTTTAGAAGAACAGTTTCTTGTTAAATGAGCTTCTGCATTGACTGGTGCAAGAATATAATCATGTGAAAGGGAAGGAGTACCTGGTGGAGTATTATTTTCCATATGTTTTGCCATGGCAACCTTTAGGAAGTAGGAAAGAAAAAAAAAAAAAAATTGCATGGAAAATGCAATCTGCAAAAAACATATTCTCATTCATGTGGAAAAAATTCTAACTGGCCTCAATTTCATAACTTTCCAGTAAACAAATGCCTATTTAGAAAATCAAACTACAGCTGCTAGGCATTCAACTTCCTATATAAATTTGTTGCTAAACAAAATCTACAGCTAGGGGTAATATTTAATTTTGTGATTTTTAAATTCAAAAGTCTACTCAAAGGCTTTCTTGTGAATGATGTAAAAATGACCTTTAAAAATTTAAAGAGACAAATCACCAAGTTGTTTTTGAGGCAATGCAAAAGAAAACTTATAAATTATACATCAAAATGTTATTTAAGTATTAAAAAGTCTAACATGTTTTAATTAGACCACAGCTTAGTTATACATGCTCTTGTGAGAACCCACATACATTTAAAAGTTTGTTAAACTGGAAAGAAAAAATTAAGTTTTCTTAGTTTTGCAATTCTACACCAAATTTTTATCATTTCCATAAAAAATGCTTTTAAATTTAGATAATTTCTAATTATCTGCACCCACACCAAAATATCATAAAAAATATTCATAAAGAAACAGTATATCACCATAATAGTTATGTGCCAATCCAATGATGTCACCAGAAAGTATTTTGTGGTAATCCAAGCATGAGCATATTATTTGTCTGTTTTGGACAGTGCACAATGCTGAAGTTGTGCAGATGTTAAAATTGTGCTATTCGCTGATGTTTTTTAAGTGAAAAAACATCACTGCATACATTAAAACAGTGGAAAAATAATTGCAGAAGGATTTTTTGGAAAAAGATAACTGTTTTATTATAAATGTTTCATGCTTTTTTAATTTTTAATAACCGATTGCTCTTTTATGAAATTCTTGATGTGGACCTAAGAATTTCAGAATTTTTCATTAAGCTAATGTTTGTTGCCTTTCATACACTAGTTTGGTGAAAAATTAGTCACCAACAAATTCGCTATTTTTCAGTGGTGTATAGATTATCAAAAAGCTCCAAAATTTATATATATATATAAGTATAATATAATATATTTGCTGCTAATAGTGTATACTAAAAATGCTATCTCAATTAGCTTATTAATTATTAAAAGTTTCTTTTTAAAACATTAAATATTGAAATATCAGTATGTATGAAAATGTTTGGCAAATTAAGTATTAAAATATTTTAATATTTTAAAATTATTAAAAGCTTTTTAATAAAATGTCCAAGTTTTGAAAATATCATAAACATGTAAAAAAAGTTATACATCAAATTTAAAAAGCCATCTGAATTAGGATTAAATCCTAAAAACTATTTGTTAAACAATAATTAACTTAAAAATAATACATAGAAAGTACTTTCAATGAATAAATAATAAAATATATCAGTTTAAAAGCTTATTAGTTTTAAGCACTCTTTTTCCCCCATTTCATTTGTTTGAATAGTAAAAAATACTTTGTTTTATATTTTTTTTATTTTTTAGAATTAAGATAAAATAACACAACAGAATGAAAAAAAGGAAACTTCCTTTGAAGTTGGATTTCCAACAGTTTTAAATCCTGTGATTAAAATTACATCAATTTACTGAATCGAGCAGATAACTTGAGTTATGTAGATAAAAAAGTTAATGAATTATCAAAATGAAATGCAGCATCAATATCCTCCTAAACAAAATAATTCATAGACCTTATGTTATATACTTACCATAATATCTTTTGGATCCAGATGATTGAAATGATCAGTATCTGTATCCCAGTATAATGAAAGACCCTGCAGTTCCAGTAATTTCCACATAAAATCACTATCATCACGTCGTACAAATTTTGAAACCTGAACGAAAAACTACATATCATAAGCATATGGATATAATTACTTATTTTATTTATTCTTTTTTAAAATTTAAAATGTTACCCAATTTTGATCTGTGCTCTGTGCAGATAAACTATGAATAATGATACCACAAGCAAATTTTTGGCTGATATAATTCTCCTTGTCTTCATACCGAATATGAACATCTTTGATTTTAAGCTATAACATAAAAGATACTATCAATCTAAAATGATAGTACAAAACTGTTACAATAAAAATATGAAATGTTCAATAAAAATAAAAATATTTCATTTTAATTTTGTAGATGTCATAAATAATTTTCCATTCTAGCATTTAAAAATAATTACTCAAACAATAATATTGCTATAAAGAGGTATTACAAATGAAGAATAAAATTTAATGCAATAAAAAGAAAAGAGGAACTTTTCCATTCTCTAACAATATAGAATGACAAGCAATTTTATCCAAAATATGCTTAGCAATCTGCAAATATTAATACAAAATTTAAAAAAAAAAAAAAAAAAAAGGTCCAACTGGAGAACCAGGAGGATGATTCTATACAGAACGGCACTGAAAAAAATTTTATCAATTAAAATATAGCTTCAAATAACAATAAACATTATCTATCAACTGGACTTATAACATTTAAAATTATATAATAAATAAGTTTTTAAAAAATTGATAATATTATACCATATAAATTTAGGCATATTATTAAAAACACAATTAAACTGAAAGTAATCATCAAGAATTATGGTCACTGGTTACCTACAGGTTGACAGACATTTATACTCAACATGAGCCAATGCATAGTATTTTACTTACACAGCATTTTAAAGCAAAATTAAGTATACTGGTACCCATAAAGACTGTTGGCCAGGTTGAAGAGCTCACAAATTAATCCATATTTCATTGGGAGAAGCAGAGAACTAAATTTAAGTATTTTAGAATTAAATTAAAAGGTACTGATGCCAAGTTGAGTATCAATTACTCTCAACCAATCCATCACTACAGCATAGTCCATGAAAGAAAGGTAAATTCAGACAGATTTTTAAAATTACGTTTGAAGGACACTAGTGTCCTTCAAAGTTGCTAGCCATTGTGACTTAGCTTTGGGTCACATGCAAGGTAGTGCAGTAAATTTCAATAATTTTTTAATTAAATTTAAACCAGTATGTCATGTTGGTGCTTTTCAGCAATACATTAAAAAATATTTTAATTAAAATTAAATCAAAATTCATCAATTTCTGTCAAGGTTGTTATTCATCACAAACTTACAGATACAGGATCACTTGAAATGTAACTTGTAAGTGATAGTGATCGCCACTTTAAGGTCTACCCTTAGGTCACCAATGTAGGGCAATAGAGTAAATTTGAATAAACTTTAAAGATACAATTAAAGTGAAGGACACTGGTGACCTAAAGGTTTGTCACCAGAGACCTATGTGTAGATATGCTATGAGTTACAGGTACTGGCAGTCAATCCATAAAGTTAATGGTGTATGGATGTGTAATAAATTTAGAAAAATTGTTAAAATTAAACAAAATTGAGAGTCCAGCTGAATGACATTAATCAGTTTTATAATAATTCTGTCATGGCCACAAGCCACTGGAAATGTATGAGCTTTCAGTCAATATATGACAGTGCAACATTTCTACAGTGACAACAGTTGCTAAAGCTTGGGTAGTAATGTGTTGGTCACACCAGTTAATTACCTGATAAAATCAAATATGCATTTTATCAGGTAATTAATTACATTTTAACATGTACTATAATCAAACTACTGAAGCCTACATCACAGAAAATAACTAGAAATGTGTCAAGTTATGCACACTGCATTAAAGATGCTCTTTCTACATTGAACTGAAACAATGAACAGAGAAGATAGATTTATTAAATAAATTTATGATATAGTAAAAGCCCAACTATTTGGCATTTAACTAATTGAAAAGCTCAAGAAACCAGAATATTTTTAGAATATTAGGGAAAAATTTTCTAAAAAAAAATTAATAAAGAAGAGATTTGTAATGCCATCATAAAGCTCCTAATACTGTTAACATGTATATATTTCACCAAGCAGTGTGATTTAACACCAATAATGGATAAGCAAGACATACAACATAATTATAAGAAGTTTGTTTTATTTTAATGCAAATTTGATTAAGTCTTGATAAGCTGGTTTAATTTTTATAGAGAAGATTTAAATTCTATTTTTTCTTACATTTTGAAAATATTATTAATAAGTGGGATTGCATGAAGTGGACTACTTTCGAAATTACACGGCCCGGGCATTAAAAAAAAAGGCCACTATTACAGGACTCTGAAAAAGGATAAACAATGGCAATGTAATATGAAAAATGATTTAACCTTTTTATATGTTATACCCATAATTTGTATGACATTATTATGACCAAATAAAGAACGATGTGTTCATTTAAATTTCTACTGCAATAATTGACAACATCTCAGCCAACTTCCATGTTAGGCAGGATTTCATTATTGGGCCTACAAAATATGTTGGGTTTTATAAAAGTGAAATACACTCCCCCCCCCCCCAAAAAAAAAAGAAAATCTTAATTTTAAATGTCAGCTTTTGGTATTCAAGTTTGTTAGCAAATAAGATGAATGTGTTTAAAATTTTAGAGCAGAATTTTTTTCTATTAATGTGGCTTTCCTAATGTCAATTGCGCTTCTTATAAGCTCAACTATGTAAAATTTTCACATATCCGGAATTCAGTATTCCCTAAACTTTCCAGATAGTCGTGCTTTTATTATATATTATTCTAAAAATTTGTATGTTGCTTTCTTAGATACTCTTGACAGTTTGCAAATTGCTTACAATGTATTTTATTGATTTTAATAAGCTTTCTCTCTTAAGAAGTTTTGTATTTGTTGGTTTTAACGAAAACCAAAGTCCCAGGGAACAAATCTCAAATGGCCAAATTTAGGCACCATACTCTATCCCCCCCCCAAAAAAAAAACAATTTTTAAATAATATAATTTTTAAAAGAACTTTCTCAGTACATGTCTGATTTGCAGCAGTTAATTTTTCACATTATGTCTCTATATGGTTTCTGTGATGATATATAAATTCACCTCATACTTCTTTCCACAAATTCTGATGGAGGGTAAAATACCTCTTTACTGGGAGAATTTAATAGCTTCATTTTGACTCGATGGTAAATTAAAAATTACCACTAATTTTTTTTTTTTTTTTTTAAATTCTTACGAGCAGCAAAAAAAAAAATTTTTTTTTACAGTTCTTATTACTTGGTTTTGGTTATGGTTTTAGGCTTGCTATATTTTTTGGTGATAAATGCTGCAAAACTTCTCAATTAATCACTGGTTGTTGGCAAAATAACAAGCACCAAATTTTTTTAATTTTCTGATCCTTGAAAAACTTCATTAGAATCCTCATTTATCACATTGTTAAATCATTATTTACATCAATAAAAAAACTATATTTTTAATTTTAGTTGAACAGAAAGCAGTATGTTTACATACATAAAATATAAATTAGAATACAGTCAACTCTCAGCTATACTGGAGATGATTAACCACATTACAGGTTAACTGGGCCATGTCTAAAAAAGGGCTGAAGTTTGTTTATTTCAGAATGACGGAAAAATTATATCAGAATAAAATCTTTATGGGAAATGCAAAAAGGTAACAGCAGTAAGAGCAGGTGAAACCCCAGTATTAAAAAACTGTTTTTACCCACAACAGTACACTGCGCACAAAAAAGGGGGAGACAGTTCTATATCTCCTGTTCTGACGAAATTCAACTTGTGTTTTTCATGTCTCGAAAGTGCGATGTGGGATATGTATTTGATTTATATATAGCATTGTTTTAATACAGGTATTTTTACACAAAAAAGAGGACTTTTTCTGAAATGGCATGCAATTTTTTTTCCATATTTTTGATTCTATGACTTAAATTATACTAAACTGCCAAACTTTGTAAAAATCACACATGCAGTTTTGAAAAAATCAGTTCTCAAAATTTTAGTTCCTCACTGTTAATTGAATTTGATATATATTTATTAATATCTCTTTTTTATTAAACTTATGCTTTTATTTTTATGCTGGTACTGAAAGTGGTTGTTATTTTAATAATTTATTCCCCCCCCCATTTTATCACATGTTTGATTTCAAAAAGAGCATTTCAAGTAAATTTCGGAAATAAATAACTAACCATGCATACTACATGATTGCTAATATATTTTTTGTGGACATCATCCCTAATATTACCTCAGTTCATTTGGGAGATTATTGCACATACTTTTTTAGCCTATAACAATACCAATTAATTTCAATGCTTTATTTCAGATAAAGAAAGAATTATGTGTTTGAGCAAATAAAAAAATTGTTTTGTTTCTTTTTTTTTTAATAAAAATATTTTTAATTGTGTAATCTTTGTTGAAATAAAACACAGGTAGCCCTCCTACAGCAGGGCATCCTGTAACACGGTTTCGCTATAACACAATTCATAAATTGCAAAAAAATTCCTACAACACGGTTTTTCTCTAACACGATAATAAAATTGCCCAAGCAATGCAAATAAATTTAATGAACTCTGCACGAAGATTTTCCATATTCAGCAAAGCACCCATATAGTCATTTAACATATAAGAATCCTCGTTTCAGAAGTTCAGCCAGTTGTCTTGTTCAGCCAGTTGTCTGTCGGTACACTTAAGAACAAACCTCAGAAAGACGAGCCCCATGGTGGAGAGTGACCATTGAATTCTTAGCTGGTAACAGAGGAAAATCATTTCTTTCCAGGACCTTAAAGCACAATTGCACAACAGAAACAATGCCCAGTTTTAAGAGAGCATAATTACCAGATAGCAATGAAGAAACCTCGCTATCGCAGAAGGTGAACAACATGAGGTCACAATAAGTGCTTTAAAATGCACGGCCTGTACATTTGTCTTCCAAAATTCGAATCCTCGTGTCCGTGAGCTGAAAACCAAAGTGTCTCATGCTGCAGTTCGTCAGTCTGCGTCTAGCCAGGGCATGTTAAAGAATAACTTTTTCATCTTTAAGACATTAAGTTTCAGCCCCAATGCTGCTCTGATAAAGATAAAAAACAATGCTTAAGAGGAAATTCATTTCTTTAGAAGTTAAAGATACAAATTTTTTAACTGTCATTTAAAAGGAGAAAAAACATCTCACATTGGAAAAAGTTTTAATTTGAATGAAGCAACAGTCCAGACTATTAAGAAAAATGAAAGAGAAATAAGAAATTCAGTTGCTGCAGGATCTTCGACATTCGTAAAACGGGCAGTTTGTCCTTCCCCCCCCCCTTCCGTTCGGGGCCAATAATTGAGAAGATGGAAAAGGCACTCAGCATTTGGATTGATGATAGCTGTCAAAATAGAATTCTGTTGGATGTTAATATCATTTAAACAAAAAGTATTAAAAATTTTCAAGCACCTTAAAGAGCATGGAGAATTTTCTGTTTACTCAGATTTTCTGACAAGTAAAGGTTGGTTCGAAAATTTCAAAAAGCCTCTTGCAACTCATAGCATAACAAGTCAAGGAGAATCTTCATCTGATTATGAAGCTGCTAGGATGTTGATTATGAAGTTACAGCTTGGCTTTTAAATTGTTTTGTGCCAGACGCTGAATGTTATTTCAGGCAGAAAAATTTGAGCTTTAAGGCTCTATTACTATTAGATAATGCTCCCCTGTCACCCACAAGATTTGAATCATCCCAATGTCAAAATAATGTTCATAAAATAGGTGGTAGACCTATCACTACTTCATTACTCCAACCATTGGATCAAGGTACTATTTATACCTTTAAAACATATTACATAAGAAGAGCATTACAGTGCACTTTAGACGTAACCAATTCAAAATCAATTAAGGTAATGGAAGTTTGGAAGACATTTTCAATCAAGCACTGTATCGACATCGTCTCTTTCGCCCTCAAAGAACTGAAAGCATCAACGTTAAATGCATGTTAGAAAAAGATATGTCCCTCTTTAGATGAAATAAAAAATGTGCGTGAATTGTCAAAAAATGAAATTGTTGGCTTATTAAAACTTGCTAAAACAATTGGAAGTGAAGGTTTTGTCGACATGGGTATTAAGGGCGTTCAAGATTTGTTAGCGGAAGAAGAAATTGACGAAACAGATTTGATAGAAATGCCATCCGAAGCCACAAATCAAATCGATTCTGAGGACCCTAGCACTGATGAAGATAGTGCAGTTCATAATTTAACATTAAAAAAATTAAAAGAAGGCCTAGGCTTAGCTGAAAATCTCGAATCATTTTTCTCGAGTACAGATCTTTCCACTGAAATAAGCCGAAAATTCAAAAGGGAGCTGCAAAACTGTCTAGCTCTATATCGAGAAATTTACATTGACCCGGTAAGAACTAGTAAGCAAATAAAATTACAGATTTTTTAAAGAGGGAAGAAAATGCCAGAACTTTAAATGAAGAAAGAAATTCTGAAGTAAAAGCCATCTCATTCCACCAAAAAAACGTTCTCGGTTGATTATACTGAGCAGTGACAATGAAGAAATTTATTACACTAAAGTTGCATTAAATTAAAATATGTGATATTTTTTGTTTTGTGTTGTACATATATATATTTTATAGTTTTAAAAAATTCAGTTGTTTATGTAGAATTTTTAAAAAAAAATTTTGTTTTGTTTTTAATAAATTTTCGGAATGTAACCCCCCCCCTTTATACTAGCTCTGGGTCTCATACAACATGGTTTCACACAACACAGCATTTTATAGGAATCTATCTACCATGTTATATGAGAGCTACCTGTGACAAAAAAAAAAAAAAAAAAAAAAAAAAAAAAAGAAGGAGAAGTCTTTAATTTGCATATATTTGGCTTAGGAGAAAAATATAAACCTGTTACGCAGTTGTTTCAAACATCCGAAATGGGCTGTGATTCTAGTTAGTCTAGAATCTAGATAATCAAAATGTTTTTGCATTGTATTTTCAAATAAAAATGTAACTGGAATTTTAAAATAGTTTCAGAATTTTAATTTCACTGCTACAGTCTTCACCAGCAACATATTTGTCATTAACACAAAAACTAAAGCAAAATAAAAACTAAAAGTCAGCAAATCAAATACAGAGAAACATAAAATAAATAATTTCTAATTTATCAGTCTCTTCAAGAATATTTATAAACAGATTCTGATAATAAATTTAATATAATTTTCTCATAAATAGCATTAATGTGTGTTCTAGGTGTCACCCACCTTGTGGAAACCCAGGGTTTGATTTGCAGAACCCAGGGGTTCCAAGCAACATAACTGCAATAGAACTACATTAGAATAGAAGACCACTGAAATAGCCTAATGAGCAAATTTCTCTCCAAATAAAAATGAGAAGGTGAATTAATAGTCACACAAATATAGTAAATTCTCTTTCCTTTTTTAGTATTCACTATAATAATAATAATAATAATAATATAACAAAAATAGCTATTACCTGAACATTTTCTATCACATTAGCCATCAAAGATGTTCCATAACTCATCCAATTTGTATAATATGAATCACCATGTTTGGCATCTTGGACACCCTATCATATATTAATCTACATCAATGTCTTATTATTTAATGCAGCTTATTCTTAAAAAAATACAGTAAAAATTTAATTAAATTTTTTTATAAATTTTTACTGTATTTTTTAGAACTTAATTAAAATTTTTACCATTTTCCACATATATGGAATATACATTTAAACCAATAACATTTGACTGCTTTTAAGCTCATAATATGGATTACTATAAATATCGTGCAATTTTTAAACTGTTACAATCTTCTTAATGATAATATAAATTTATAAAGGACAAGTAATAAATCTGCATATAATGAAACTTTACTTCTTTTGAACCCTCGAAGAAGTCTATGATGTCAATTGCTATGACTTCAAGAATCTTTACACTTCTTCACAACTTCAAGAAATTTATAATAGACTTTTAGAGCTTACAGAATATTTTCCAGACGTGCTCAATATTTTAGATTATAATACCGAAAAAAAATTTTCTTCACTATCGGAAGTGGTATTTTCTGGATCTAGAACCATACTACAGATTTCGACGTCCGTTAATTGATTGATGAATAGGGCATTGTCGTCGCAACAAAAACTTCTGTTATATCATCTTCATTTATTACCGCTTTTCCACATTTCTTTACAAAATCGAATAACTAGAAAATTTCACCTTTAGTTTGCGATGTCCGAAAACCTTCAAATTTACGGCTTTTCATCTTCATCGTCCTCACTATGAAATATGATAGCTGGCCTTTGGCAGCTCCAGAATTGGAAACTCTTTTTGACATGATTGAAAGTTCAAGCTTAATTTTTATAAAATTGCTCTAACAGTCTGCAAAAAATAATAAGCCAGATCTAATTAGAAGATTAAGGAACAGCGCAATTTGCATTAACTGAAATGACTGAGAATCAGTAAAGATAATTTTAGCCTAGCTTATACCACCTGTTATACATTAAATGCGCATACGTAACGCACACACAAAAAAAAAAGTTTGTTGCTTTGAGGTCCAGATTATAGATCATTCCGGATAATTATGGACTTTGTTCTTTTTTTTTTTTTTTCGGGGGGGGGGGGGGGGGGGGGTCTTTTAACTTATTCACATCTTCATTTTTAATTTCTAAGCCCATGGTTTCGTTTAGATACAATGCCAAAAATTAATGAAAAAAAAGTTCAAAATTTCAAAGCCTTTAATTTCTGCCTGCCACATAATTCAGACATTGTTTTTTCTCAGTCCCATTCATTGTCCTGTAAATCATTTGCCTCCAGGCTTTGTTAATGAGAGTGAAGGAATGGCAAATATCAAAGCCCCTAAGTATTAAATCTGTGTCAGAGATTCAGAGATTATCTCAAAATATTCTGAAAATTATTTGTTTCCGATTCGATTGTTTGAAACTTCAGACCCTGTTCATAACTTTTTTTTTTTTTTTTTTTTTTTGATAATTTGTTTGAACCAATTTGTTCATGATGATAAAGGTTAGGTTTCAGTTTGGATCTACATCAAATATAGAGGAAAATAAGAATAAACAAGAGGAAAAAACAAATTAAAGCATTTTTCTAAGCACAAACAAAGCAATTTTAGGGTTGCCATACAAATGGCAAGAGAGGCAGGGTTCCTACATTTGGCGAGAAATCGTCCATTTGGCGACAAAATTGCCGATATGCCATGGACAGATGGAGAACCTTCTGGAACGAATTCTTACCGGTTTAGCCCAGAATGTTCTCGAACACAAGCCGAAAGTTCTATAAACCCTGCTGGAGCTGTGCTCTGTGTGTCGTCGAGTGCATCGCAAGTTGTAGCATGGAGAGTCTCGAGAGTACGTGGAGTTCCAAGAATGACCAAGTAGAGCTATACTCCGGAAAGCAGAGTCGGGTGCTTTGCAGGAAGCTCCACCATTATTGCCTGACAGTGTGACAGTTGTCTCCACCATTATTGCCTGACAGTGTGAAGGCTGTGTCGCTGATTGTTCCAGCGTGTTTATAGTAGATCTTCGACGACTGTAAAAGTGTTTTGGAGCTGTCCTGATTAATATTGATAAATAAAGTGTGTTTTGCTACTTCATCCAGTGTTGTCATTATTCACTCCAAATCTATGAACCACGTAAGAATGTGAAGGAAGAAAATAACGTAACAACTTGTGTCAGAAGAAAGAAAGAAAAACGCAACAATATGAATTGAAAACATTCTAAATTTTGAAAAATCAGATTTTCACTTGCAGCAAAATTTAATCAAGATAAGAACAATGAACATAATTTTTTGTTAAATATTAGTTTTGTTTGGTGCAACATATTCATACTTAAATTTATAAATATTATTTATTTACAATGCATAAAGAGTTCCCTTTTTTCAGCATTCATTGTTTTCTTATTCCATCCCATTGAAAAATTGTAGATAAATTTATCTTTAAAAATCTAAATCTATCTTTTTTTTGAAAAAAAAGTAATGAGTTTTCCCTTTTTCATTCAATGATATAAATTTCTGATATATTTCTTACTTAAAATCAGCACTACTACTGAAATTAAATTATTTACCTTAAATTTTGCTTCCAAACTTTCAAGGCGAGCCTGCTTTCTTGATAATGCAATTTTTTCTTCCACATTTTCATCATACTGAAAGTGTTTGAAATCAAATAAAAATTTCAAAAAAAAAAAAAAAAAAAAAAATAAGCATAAACAGAAAAAGAAATGAATATTTAAAATAAAAATTAAAATGCAAGTATTAACTAACTTCAGAAGATACGACTGGTCCAGCGATTAAGAACAACCGTTCAATAAATATGACCCAAGGTTCACTCCGTAATCTACTGACTGGAATTTGAAGTTTAATCTTTCCAACAAAGCCTTCAAAAAATTTTTAATTAATTTAAAATACAAAATCAAAAGCATTTACTAATAAATCATATTATTTTATTATTACCTGCATGTACCTCTACTGGAAGCTCAAGACCTCTTAAAGCATCTTTCCTTAAAGGCAGGTTTTCAAGTTCCACTTCCCCTATAAAATATAAAGAATTTTTTTACAAAATTGTATATTAGTAATTCCTTCACAAGATTATAAATTCATATTTCAAATATAGCATATTTCTATACTCCCTGACCGATAGTAACCACAGCCGAGCTAGATATTTGAGAAATTCCGACAAATGGATGCCTTTTTTTCCCCAAATAAACCATTTGTTCAAACTGCCTGATTACTCACCCGAGTTGATTTTCAGAATTTTCTGAATAATTTTTTTATTTAATCTAAAACAATGTAAAAATCTTTTTTAAAACAAGCAGGTCTTAAAAAAAAAGGGGCTAACATTCCATAAGCAGAGTAAGTTGGCGCCAAATTATCTTGGCCTTCAAAATTTGGCGGATTATTTTGGTGGCAATGAAATCACTAAGATGTGATATTTAAACATAAAACATAATAGTAACTTTTAAGTTTTGCAGTAGTGAAATGCCGTTATTTTATGTAAACAGAATAGTAAAATGAGATGATAAAATACTAGATGAGTAAAACAAAGTCTAAAAGCTTTGCAAGTAAAAACAGTTCTATCTATGTAATTCATCATAAAATAGTAGAATAAATAATTCTTGTAAATAATTATTAAATAAATAAATATACACACTTATCAGATCAGAGCACTGCAAAGTGAGTTTTAAACGTAAACAGAATAGCAAATTTTTGTTTACAGTGGTGAACAGTGATTCTTATGTGTAAACAGAATAAGAAATCAAACTGATTAAATAATGAAACAACGTCATGGAATTCAACACACTAAACAACTTTCATTCAAAACTTTAAATATTCCACATCTTTCGACTGCCACATGCAAAAAACAAAACTAAAAAAAGTAATTAACTAAATTAAATGAAAACATCCATAACTTCAAGTCATCTGAAATCCAACATTCTCCCACCAACAACAGCTTAACCTTCTGCAAATATTTATATAAATATAAACATATATATATAATAATAAACAGTAAAACTTTTAAAAACAAGCACAGTATTTCAAGATTAAATTTTTAAAAAAAATCTTCTGGCTACACTAAATTCGTACTCTTACAATTACCGAAATAAAACTCTAGGTTTGCCACAAGAAAACATACAGCTGGAAACCACAACCAAATTAAAATTGTGTAAAATAAAAACTCTCACCAAGTTTGGCGCTCATCCCGATTATGGAACACTAACCAAAAAAAAAAAAAAAAAAAAAAGAATATCAATATCATATGTCAAAGAAAAATAAAGTTATTTTGTTAGTAATTAGTAATTGGTATTTGCAAATAAAATTGAAAAACATAAATGCCCAAAAACAAATGTCAGCCACTGAGTAAACCTCAGAACTGTGAAAACAAAAAATCTTATCAATATATCACTGTATGCTATTTTTTCCCCTTGTGAAACATTATGGTATGCTGTCAATGAATTCCATGAGTGAAATGAAATTTTATATTGTAATTACAGTGGTATCTGAGCCTACAGTCTACATCAACTTTGAAATACATCCAACTCAATATATATATTGTTTGGAATATGACTTGAATTCAATGAGTCATGACTGCACACAATACACTTGCTCACCTTTCAAAACAATGCTATGACACCCCATGAGCATCAGTATACCTGATTCAGTAAAAAACTACACTGTAACTTAAAATTTTTGTGAATTTTTTGGGGAGGTAAATATTTCATACATTCATTGAGTTTTATGAAAGTTAATGAGAAAAGTCAAGTAATGAAGAAAATTGTTAGGATTACCATGGATGTAAAAAAAGGGAAAAAAATGAGATTTTTGAAAAGTATGAAAATGGCATGCATATCTGATATTTGGATATTGTACAGCATATACTAAGTTGATGGTGTCTATAAATCTGAAAAGTAAAGATATTAAATTGGCTAGCATTCTAAATGGGGTGAAATTGACAACCAAAGAAAGATCAAAGACATTACAACATGTTGAAAAGTTGCTTTTGATCTTGATAGCAGAAAAAGATTTATGTACAGTATCATCTGCAGTGCTTCATTTATACATGGTGTATATACTGCTTCTGTATTTTAAAACAGTAATATAATAACATTTTTTTGGTTAGAGTAAACTGAATCGTATTGTATTATCGCAAATTTGTTGTGTCATTTATCGCCAAGTTGTTGTTTCACTTATGGTAACCTGAGTAGTTGAATTTTCCGTAAATATACTTTCACCTAGAATTGGGCACTCCTTTGACTTTTTAAGTGAAAATATATCAGTGTGTATATGGACAAAGGGAGTGTGAAATGCCAAGTTTGTGTCATTCTCTGATGTTTTGAAGTGAAAATAGGTCGACATGTACATGGATAAGGTCAAGGTAGTGCGCAATGCCTAGTCAAAGAATTCCACGAACTCTGTATCCATGTGCCGCCAAAAATCGCCAATGGGTAACTGTAAATATACTTTTACCCATTTTTTATAGGAACAAATTACTTTCCCTTTATTTCTTATTGGAAAAGTTTGTCTAATGTACATTAGTGGCCAAAATTGTGGTCACTTTTGGAAATTTTTGTTTTTGAACTTTGTATGCTTATAGAAAATGTTACGTTTCGCAATATGCAAACTTATATATATCATTTTAAAGAGAATTTATTACTGAATTTAATACAAAACACAAAATTCAATTATTTGCAATACAAAAAAAGTAATATGTACTTTAATATAAATAAAAAACACAGTTATGAAGTGGTTTGTAATGTCTAGCTTTCCTAACCAATCCCTGTTCTTGTTCTGAGAACCAATCAAATGTTAGTAACTGCCAGTAGAAGCTGACATCATGTTTACACTTGAAACAATTCATTATTTTGCTTTGTTCTGTACAAGGAGGACCTGTTTCTTATACACTGCAATTACAAGTAAGAATTTTTGTAAAAATTTTTAATATTTAGTCAAGAAGCAATGACATCAAATAAAGGAGTAGATTGGACACCTAGAAAGAGATGCAATATTATTGTGTTACGACAAAGTGGTCTTTCCTATGCTGAAATTGCAAGACAGGTGGGTGGTTCAGTGACTACATCTGGAGTCCGAAAGTTTTGTTTACGATATCAGGAGACAAATTAAATTAAAAAACAAAGAAGGAAAAGGCCGAAAAAGGTGCACCACATCTAGTGATGACAGAAGAATAAAAAGACTATGTCTCCAAGATAGAAAAATGTCATCAGTGGCCATCAGAAGTGATCTGAATGATGCTGGTGTTTCTGTCAGTTCAAGAACAATCAGGAGAAGATTAACAGATGTTGGACTGAGAGGTAGAATTTCACTAAAAAAGCCTTTTCTTAATTTTCAGCAACGAAAAAAAAAAGACTACAGTGGGCAAAGGAACACATTAATTGGACAGATGATCAGTGGTCACAAGTTAAATGGAGTGATGAAATTAAGATATCATTATTCGGTAGTGATAGGCGAAAATATGTAAGATGTAGAATAGGAGAAGAGCTACATCCTGACTGCATTCAAGCAACTGTGAAGAATCCAGTTAGTGTTATGATTTGGTCATGCATGTCAGCAGATGATATTGGTCGCCTTCATGTCATCGATGGGACACTGAATGCCAGAAAATACATTGACACTATTCTAGAACCAAAACTTCTACCTTCCATCAGAGATCTCTTTCCCAACAATGCTTCATTTATTTTTCAGCAGGATTCTGCTCTATGCCACACGGCCAAAATATCGAAAGAGTGGTTTTGTACAAAGAGCATTAAATTGTTGGCCAGGAAACAGTCCTGACCTCAATTCTATCGAAAATTTGTGGCACCGTTTGAAAATTCTTGTCCGAAAGAGGCAGTCATCAAATAAATTGAAGCTATAATTGTTTCCTGGCATCATGTAATAACGAAAGAAGAGCTTAAAACTCTTGTCAGCTCAATGAAATGTCGATGTGAAGCTGTAATCAAAAATAAAGGTTAGCCTGTGAAGCTGTAATCAAAAATAAAGGTTACCCTGTGAAGCTGTAATCAAAAAATAAAGGTTACCCTTCTAAGTACTGATAACTCACTGCAATCATCACTATCTAATGTATATCGATAACTATAATCATTTAACTTTTTTTGTATAGCAAATAATTGAATTTTGTGTTTTGTATTAAATTCAGTAATAAATTCTCTTTAAAATGATATATACAAGTTTGCATTTTGTGAAAAGTAACGTTTTCTATAAGCATACAAAGTTCAAAAACATAAAATTTCCAGAAGTGTCCACAATTTTGGCCACCACTGTATATCTAATTTAGTATATGTCTAAGGAACTGTAATAGATTAATGACACATACTGAAGTACCACTGAATTTTCCCAACTTTTTCTGAAGAACATAAATCATTTTTATAAAAAAAACTTTCACAGGTTCCCCTCCCCAGATAAATCCACATTTATATGCTTTCAAATATAAATTATCAATGGTTTTAAATACAGATATGTCTGCTTTAAATGCATAACAAAATTTACCTATTGGACCCAAATTAAGAATTATTTTATACTTATGTACTGGCATAACCAACCCTCCTTGACAAAGTCTGGCAGTTTTTTTACAAAGAAAAGAATAACACAATTGCAAAAACATTATTTATTACATATATATTTTACATACACAGACCTAACACAGCAAAGGAATGGCAGGCTGCATGTCATTCATAAAAGCCAGAACGAATGCACCTCTCCACTGAAGAACTTGACAAAGCACACAAACGAATCCGTCACTTATGCTTTAGAATCAGAACGGTGTGGAAACTGCTGTAATATAGTACAGTTTCCAATAATGATTTTGCAGCAAAATATGTAATTCTGGTTAATGTTTACCATGCTTTATTTTAAAATTAAGTTTAATACATAAAATAAGTCAAACCATTATTAAAACCCACTGGAACCTGCAACTCACAGAAAAGAATGCATATAACAATTACAACATTGCTTTTAAAAAATAAAGAATCATTCTGTGCATGGTTTAGTGTATTCTGAAAATTTGGGTACTTCTGCTAAGGTGGCTGAGCTAATATGTAAACACCAATTATTTTATAAACAGAAATAGCTTATTTGAAATTTAAACTAGTTTATGCTTTGTAAAGATAATGACTTTTGATCTTTGGCCAATACACTTGAAAAGAAATTAATAAGATAATTATTTAATCCATTTTTAGGGAGGAACACTTGTTATCATTAAAGAAAGTACAATATCCCTATATACAGAACAATCCCCCCCCAGAATGTTTATATACTAACACCTCACATGAACTGCTGTATACATTCATTAAAAGTAGTTTAAGCTTCAAAAATTATGTATTACTGCACATTCAAAAATGTGCAGTAATACATAAGTACTAGTACTTTTTTCACGTTATTTAGTTCAGTGGAAACATTGCAATAAGTAAATAAATTAGCAGTAAGCTTAATTAAATTTAACCTAGAAAAAAGCAAGCAATATGGATCTATCGAAGTCAGATAATTTGAATTCGCGGAAAGTGCAGGATCGCCCACTGCTTGGCGCATTTTTATAAATTTCACGCACGTTACACGGAAACTAGTGGCAATAATATAATAAACATTAGAGTTAACCTTTGCTGCATTCATGCTGCTTCTAATACCCAATTGTAGTGTTAAGAAAACAGCAAAAGTGTAAAATTAAGATCTATGGTTAATTAAAAATTTATTATATATGTAGGTCTAATTTTTTACAAAGATTAATTTAAATATTTTTGGTTGATTGATGCGAAATATTAGAGTTTCTCGTAACTAAATAAAAAAAGAGGCAGAAATAAGAAGTGAAGTGAAATCAATTTGGCAAAATTTTTTTAATTGTATTTGTCGCTTTATTTATTTTATGAAATGTTATTTTTTAAATTTTTATTAACTAAGAAATTTTGTCTATAATTTATCAATTTTCACAATATTTTATGAAAAAGTGCTTAATTTAAATATGCCGAAAATTGTGTTTCCTGAGCAATACTTTTAAAGATCTCCAATGTGATAACCCATTTAATGGCTCTGCAACAAGTGCATATTAATAGAAAGGACAATATTTGCCAGTGTAGAGTTATGCGCAAAAATTGGAATAACCTGTAAAATAAAGCATTTCCCATGGGGTGATAAAAGCTGCAAATTTTCCGGTTGTTAAATTACTTCTTGCTTTTATGGATATCCTGTAAGCTGATTAATTAGATTTACATATATGTATAGCTGTTTAATTTTTAGTTTATTATTTAACATCCTTTAGCACACAGATTCCCCAACACTTTTCTTCCATCGACACCTTTTAAAACAGTGGCTTTCTTCATCGACCTTCTTATATTTTCTCTATAATATATAGCACAGCATAATCACAATGCAAATAATTGTGCATAAATAACTTAAATATAACAGACTAAGAATATGAACAAAAGTTTTGAAAAAAAATGGTTTATTAAACTAATGTTTTATTATCTTTAGTTTTATAAATATAAACCAGTTTTCGGATAAAAAATCACAAATTCTAATTGTGCAAAAGTTCAGTTTTAATTAATATGGTAACTATGCTTGATGTATATTAACGGACATGAAATTGCTTCATTTAATTTTTAAAACACATCATTCAGAATCATTCTACCTGTGCCTTGTTTCCCATGCTAAGTTATTGACTAAAACCTGCTTCCACTAAATTTTTTTTTAATGGGAGGAACTAGTCATTTTTAGGCTTTTGCCACTACTACGGCCAGAAGTGGTGGTCATTTTATTATGGAAGCACTTAACAGGTGACCACCATGGAGAAAGTGCTAAATCACCCACTGCTTGGTGCGTTTTTAAGAATTGCACGTACTCGGTATCCATGTACACACTAAACTATTTTCACTTAAAAAAACACCCGAGAATTGCACAAAAATGGCATTGCGCACTCCTTTGACTTTATCCATGTACACATTGACCTGTTTCCACTTATAAAAGGCAAAGAAAATTGACAAAAATCCAATTCTTCTTACTCTTGTAAAAAGCGCCAATCAAATAAATGGGCAATTCTGCACTTTAGCCTTGAATTCTACAGTACATAATAATGATGAACAGATAAAAAAATCAATATTAACAATAATTTTAAAAATATTAAATATTAGACAAACAACCTTGCAATAAGCCAATTGACAACTGATCTGTATTTAGATTTTCTACATATTCTCCAACATACGTGTTGAGAATCCATGCCGCAAGACCTTCCAACATGACAGAGCTGAAGTTACACTGTAAAAAGAAATGAAATGTTAACGAGAAAGAAAAATTAATTATTCCTAAAGAATTTTTTTATTTCTTGCACTTTATTTGGTTCCGCTGGCTAATAGATTTCATAAAAACGAAGTTTCAATTTTCTTTTAATCTTTGAAAAATACTACGTGAAATACATTAAATAGAAGGTAGAGAAATTTTACAGTTTATAAAAACAGCTCATTTATAGTATTAATAAACTATTTAGGTGAAAAAACATAGATAAATGCGTCTTATTTTTATATGAAAAGTTAAGGTCGCGCACATTTTTTTAATTAAAATTCAATTAAAACCAAAATTAGAGAAAAGTACCTCGAACACTGTACATTAATTAAAAACAATAAACACTATCTAACTTTGATAGACATATTTAGATTCATGAATATACTTCAAACTGACGCATCACTAAAAATAAATATGCATTTGAACCGCCTTAACATTACCGACAGTTTATAAATATTGACGCACGTGAAAAGAAAAAGATTAAAAAAATAAAAAGATCTGGAAGTAATCATTATTTGAGTTGTATATTGCCTTCTGCTTGTTGTTTCCGCTTCTAAGGAAGCCACTTCTGTAATACCAAAATATAATACACATATAGTAACTAAAGGATTAATTACTCGGAATTCAACATATGGAATATAATTTCATATCAAGACGTTTTATATCATATCAACTCGGCTTAAATAAATGCTGCCTTACATCGTGTAACAAGGTTACGTTAAGAATTTTGATTCATATATTCAAAGCAGCAGAATTGGCTTTGTTGGGCATTGTTCTTCATATATTTGGGTTAGCTACACAGCATAAATATTCTGGAATCCCATCAGAGCCCGACTCTGGTAATTCTTAATTACTTCGATAAATCATAATCGAACCGATAAAACATAATCGAATCATAACCGAAGTCCAAAATTAGAGGGCTCGGGCCCTTCTTTTATGTAACTGACAGATTATTTCTCGTGCTAGAGTTGTGTTCTCTTGTTCTAATGAGAGATCAAGGATTACACTTTTTTAGTACATTCTGTTATTAATTATAGAGGGAAATGAATTCCTTCCGTTAACCAATATGGATGCTTCGACCATAGCTCGCCACTATGCTGTTGGGTTACCTGATGAGATTAAGTTTCTGAATTCGCCGATTGCTTCCTAGGCGATAATTGGTGTGAACGATTATGTGAGTGCTTTGCATCATGCCGAAAAACTCAAATTAAATTTGGTATCTTGTGAATCTGTCTTCACCGTACTCATTTCTGAAGAAAAATCAAGCAAGCTCTAATTCATAAATATTAAGGCTAAATACTAAATTTCATAAATACTAAATTTGAAGCTGTGTTGTTATTCTGTTGCCACTGGATGTTATCGCCCTGTGTTATATTTAAAGAAATTAAATATTGAAAAATCTGCATAAATGTTTCTCGCATTGTGATAAAACAACAGTACATAGAACCATCAAATTTTGAACAACATACGTTTCCGAACAAATATGGGCATCTGGAAGCCCAAACTTGGAATTTTTTTTATTATCTGATTGGTATTTTGTAAAGCTCGAAAGAATTTTTGATTAACAAACTCAAAGATTTCAAAGCGAACAACAGCAACACAGTACGTGAAAAAAAAAAAAAAAAAAAAAAAAAAAATAGCCATTTTTACGTGCAAACAAGGAGGTTAGAATAGATGGAGTAAGCCTTCTCCGTATATCCCCATACAATGAAAATGAAGCCATGAAACTTCACGATGTGACGTCACAACTGATAATAGGACCGGACTTCAGAAGTAAACAAACCGGGGTGCCGGCGAAGGTATTCTATCAGCAGTCGTATTAGTAATCTTTTACTGTGTCTGAAGCTTCGAAGAATTTATCAAATATAAAGACGGATCGTGTTAGATCGCAAGACAATGATCACCGTAATTCAATTCATTCCTATTTCTGTAAGTTAAGCTTTATTTTTAAATTTCACTAAGCTTTAAAACTGTAGTATTTAGTATAGACTTTAAAATTGATAGAATACTTTGCAGTTATTATTTTTGATTCTGAAGCTCCAAAAAATATTTTTTCTCTCATCATACAACACAGCAGATGGATTTTCATTCTTAAATTACTTAATATATTAACTTTGCATTATATTATATGAATCATGTTATTTTATGTAACCAGTAATCAGTTTTTTGAAGCTGTATTGCTAATGTAAAAGTCATTTTTTAACAAGGTTAAGTTTATAGTGACAGTGAAAATAGTATCTACACTACCTCTGGTTTGTTAAGAATTAGCAATAGAGTATTCTGAAGAGCTATCTTTAAAACAGTTTTATGCAGTTTTAATGCATAAAACTGTTTTAAAGTTATGCAGTTTTAATATTTGTTAATGCGATGTAGTAGCATTAACATACACTACAACATACGGGTAAAGTTTTTATGCACAAGAACCAAAAAAATAAGAAAATTAACTAGCCAAGTTTCTTATTTAGAAAAAAAAAAAAAAAAATACCAATGAAGAATAAATCACTCTTTTAAGTGATATACGCCAGATGGCTAGACCTAGTGTATATAATTTCATTAAAGGACAATTAAGAGCATCCTCTGTTTCAAATTATGGATGATGTTGATCTCTGGAGGACAAAATATGCACATATAAACGATTTTTTTTTTAATTCTGAGCATTTGTTCCATTTTTAGTAAAAGTGGCATAAATTAATTTAGAAGATTTTAGATTAAATTAATTTATTCCAGAGTTGCCTATATAATTTCAGCATTTTTATCTTTTTTAAGAGTAAAATATTTTAAGGAAATTAAATATTACTTACCATTATTATGTTCTGCATCATTTTTATTATATCAGTTTCTTTAGTTGCAAATGCTATATTTTTTTACACGTATAGGAAGCTGACCAGTTTAATTTTACATTATGCTCAAAGTATAATGTGCAACAAAATTAACAATTGTTAGTCAAAGTACTGACTATTATTAAACTTTCAAGCACGGAAGAACATTTCACACATTATTTTAAACTTCTTAAACAACCTCCTGTTTATATTTAATAATTACTATTATATTTGTTATTATTAACTGATTTTTAATGTTAAGTTTTCTAAAAGTTGTGGTAGATAATTATAATATATTTCAGTGTTTTCAATTTATTTAGACATGCTTTTAAGTTTCTTTAATAATTTTTACATGTGTTGTTACCAAATTAAATTCTCTAACAATAGTTAGTACAAGCCCACAACATTCATCGTGGCGAGGAGTTAAAAGAGCCTATCATTGGCAAGTGAGTGAGTGAGTGATTATGGCGCAAAAACCAGAGATGATTATGACGCGCCAAACAAAAGATGAGATGATTACAATTGATGACATTAAAATTCAATAAATAAAAACAAGTAGATAAATGTACCAAATCCAGAGGATGAAGTCATATAAAAACAAGTTAAAAGCACACATTAAAATTCAAAACACAGTCTTCAAAACAAATTACATTAGATAATAAAAGCCAGTCTCTTTTAAATAATAAAATAAATTACAATTGACCTCTCTTCCGATTAAACGGTCGAGAGGCAAATCACAGCTATTAAAATATTTCTTACGAAGACTATTAAAACATGGACACTCAATTAAAATATGACGAACAGATAAACAAACATTACAGTTAAAACAAACAGGTTCATTTTCAGCTTTGAGAAGATAGCTATGTGTGACTCTGGTGTGACCAATTCTGAGTCGAGTCAAAAGAACGTCTTCTTTACGATTTCCAGCAAAATCCCAATGCTCAATTCTAGGCTTGACGTTTCTCAACTTGTTGTGATGCTGAACATCCCAAATTTGCTGCCATTTTTTTCGTATCTTTCACTTGATGACACAGCAGATGTCTCTAAAAGGGATAAGGCGACTGGACAGTTCGACAGCAGATTTTGCCGCGATGTCTGCAAGCTCGTTTCCCTTTATTCCCGTATGCCCGGGAACCCAGCAGTACAGGATTTCATATCCTCGTATCGTTAAATTTCTATGAATTTTGAGAACATCCACTACCACAGGATTCTGAGTGTTGGGAAAAGCTTCCAAGGATTTAAGAGCACTATACGAGTCTGTATAAACTATGAACTTTTTGTGGCAGAGCTTTGAGATGTACAACAGACCTATATTGCAATTAGTTCAGATGTTAGGACTGAGAAAGCATGGTGCAGGCATCTGCTCTCAATGTAATCTTCAAATACAAAAGCCATCCCGACATGATCATTTGACTTTGATCCATCTGTGTATATCGGATAATAACTGCTATATCTGTGCCTGTGCTCAGCGAAAAGTTGTCTGTAAACGATCTCGTTAGTGCTCGCCTTTACGTGATGTTTAAAAACATCAAGAAGCTGGATCCGTGAATTTTCCCAAGGTGGAATTTCAAAATTCTGTACTGCTTGGGGGTGCATATCAGAGAGGGAGAGTTCCTCAATGACAGGGCGAACTCTTAAAGGGAAAGTAGGAACACAGGATGGACGTGTTTCAAATAATGTGTTACACTCATTATCAAGTAAGCACAGCTTATTGGGATGTTCAGGTTGAGATAGAGTATTAAAATATTGCAAAAGGGACAATTGCTCACGCCTCAGATAAAGTGATGGTTCGTTACAGTCAACATATAGGCTCTGCACAGGAGAAGAAGTCCTGAAAGCTCCTGAACACAATTCCGCAGACCTTGATGGTGAACAGGATCCAGTTTTAACAAAACAGATGACCGAGCGGATCCATAAATAACAACTGAGCCATAGTCCAGTTTAGAGCGGACGTAAGCGCTCTGTAAATGCGAAGCATGGAGCAACGCTCTGCACCCCAGGAGGTGTTCGCCAACACTTTTAAAATATTTAGTGTTTTTAGACACTTCTTTCTCAGGTTTAAAACATGAGAAAGGAAAGTCAATTTTCGGTCGAACGTCACTCCTAAAAATTTTACTTCAGGCGCAACTGGAATAATTGTACCATTCAAATATAACTCAGGTTCAGGATGGAGACCTCGCTTCCTACAAAAGTGCACGCACACAGTTTTCTGTTTCGAAAATGTAAATCCCTGTTTGTCTGACCATTCTTGGATCTTATTCAGAGCCATCTGCAGTTGCCTCTCTACATATCTCATGTCTGCTCCTCGACAGCTAATCTGCAGATCATCAACATATAGAGATCCCAAGATGGTGGGAGGAAGTTCTTTTAGTACAGAATTTATTTTTAAACTAAACAGGGTTACACTGAGCACACAGCCTTGAGGCACACCCTCTTCCTGTTCAAAAACATCCGAAAAACAGAGCCAATTCTTACTTGAAAAGTTCTAGTGTTCAAGAAATTTTGAATGAAATTTGGTAGGTTGCCGCGCAAGCCACTCTCGTGAAGATCCCGGAGTATACCGTATCTCCATGCCTTATCATAAGCTTTCTCAATGTCGAAGAATACCGAGACAAGGTGGCTTCTTCTTACAAATGCTTTC